ATAATTGTATTTATATGGATAATAATACATGAAAGTATATCTGTACTAGGTAAAAATCCAAAAAAAATTTCAAAACCAACAGAAAAAACACACCTCTGTATAATTCCACGCAATATACTTCCAGGTAATCGCTGATGCTCTTTAATTAAGTCATGTACCTCTTCTTTCACAGTTTTTTTGACGTCTTCTGGATTCATGTCAGGAGAAAAATAGATAGGTCTGCCCAAATGAGTTCTAAAAACAGCTGCGGAATGAGCGCATTATGAAAACAGGGCGCAAGCTAAGGAGGAAAACGTGTATCAAATGAAGACTGACCAAGGTATATATGAAATGATCGGTTAATAAAATTATTTGTTGAAGCCTACATTAACGTTGGTAATCCTTCAGGTAAAAGCTCAACATGAGAATAAATGTTATAAAATTCTCGAAACATACATCATTTTAACTGGAAAACCACCGTACACTGGGCAAAGTGGTAATCGCGTTTTTTCATATATCCATCGAAAAATTTCTGAAATGCATTTGAATTACCGGCTATCAATGTCAACTTGGAATTGGAAGATGTAAAATAGAGTAAATCCTTACTTCGTCCACAACGCGGAGTACGGAAAGCATCGCGACAATTTTCAGTAAACATTGGAATTACAGGCTATAATAATATAATAAACAGATAGGAATAAAACATAGCAAAAAGGATAAATGAACAATTCATACTTATTAGAGGAATTTCAGTCGCAATCATATACTTAAATAGTACTGGACCCTTCGAAAAATTTTTTGGATTGCATTGAAGTATGACCTAAAAACTAACCGTTCCTGGACAACCAATGATGACTTTAGCAAAACCCAGACGACGAGCCCACATAATGTTATAACGAGTAGGGTCAGAAAACAGGGCTTCACGAACACCACCGGGAGCAATGCACAACAAATGGCCGTCTTTCAACCGTGTCATACAATCGTCTACCGTTCCAGGAGTTATGTAAAAGACCTTACAAATCATACCCCATCCTGAAAAGATATGCACTGAATTGTAAATCATAGAGCTCGATTAGGGCTTGTCACTTGTTATGAATTTTGCTGCAATAAAGCTAGGAAGTGAAGAAAATAAGAAATAAATGAAATACCGGGCATTTTGAAAATGAATTTATCACCAACACAATGAATAGTACGTTTCTTATGAAGCATACATTTCGCAATAACATAATACACATCTATTGGTAAAGTTCCGTGGTAATATACAAATAGAGCAGAACCTTCATTAGGCACATTTTCCAAACCTCTTATTTCATAACCTGTAAAAATGAATTATTCGTCAAAATGCCTTATAAATAAAATCCAGTGTTTTATTAACACTATTGCAGACTATACTTGACTTGAACGGGCTCTACTTCTGAAATTCATGGAATTCTCTACCAAGTGTTCTGCCGCAGAAAAAAAACTTCAGAACTCTATTGAACCATAAATTATACAAAACAAAAAAACAACAAGACAAGTATTGCTAAAAATGTACGAAGCACATTTGACCTTGTTTTTTAATCATTGTAATAGAATAAACTTTTATATATAAAAAATATTTTTCATTTACCGTGCCAGAGATATCCAACTGCATCCCAGAAGGATGCAATACTAATGCGTGCACCATCCCACAAACTACTGGCGTAAGCCTCTCGAATACGATTCCGCAAGCCATAAATATGAAGAAAAATGATACAACCATATATAAAAAGTAGAAGAAGAACCGGTAATATAAAAGCGACTAATAGTGGCAGGAAGAGCCAAGTAAGATACTGAAAAACTTGCATTTATCTTTAAAGAAGCCACTTCATGTGCAATTTAAATAAAAATGGAAGGAACTTCCTCATTAGCACTCAAGATAGGGAATGTGAAAGATGCGGTGTCCAATTTTTACTCTGAAAATAAAAATGCTAAGAAAACCCGGCTTCCTTTCTTAACGAAATCCAGAGAAAATAAACTATGGAAAACCCAAGATTCTAGCACAAAGGATATTCCAGTGCACCTCTAAATAATCCCAATCAACATAATCAATTGCCCATGAAATCCATAATAGTAAGACTTCCACATACGGTTGCAACCATGAAGGCCACTGCATATTTTTCAGTGATAAAAAAGTACCCTTAATCCACATTGATTTTAAAAGATTGTTTGCTCCTGAAAATTTTGAATGAAAGCATAAATAGAGATAATAAACAATGAGATAATAAATTGAAAATCAAACCAGAACATAATAATAAGGATTATCTAAAAGTGCAGGCATGTGTTCTCGCAGCTACACTTAAAAATGTATGCTCACATGTGTAAGCATTGCACAACCCATGCATGTGTATGAAATGTATTTAAAATAAAGTTGAATATTTCTGCGAATGAAGCAAAACCTGCAACGTTATATAAGAAAATAATTGTAGGATAGTAAGGTCAACCAATTTTCATTCCCAATAAAGTTTTAAAGATTTAAAAAAATACAACATGCCATAAGCTACATGATAAATACTCGACAAACGAAGCGCATTTAAATTCATTTTTCCAGGCTCTATACCTATTTCAAAAAATCAACGACACTGCATATCTTCTGATAAAGATGATATAAAGTATATGGAATAAAAAAAATCTAATTTTCTATTTCAGTACACTGCAATGCATTGAGACGCTGGAAATTTCTTTGTTGTAATCACAGTGACACCACCGAACAGGATCCATGTAAGTTATGGAAGTACTTTCAAAAAATGATACCATCAGTCGGGAACTGTTAATTAATCGAATAGCTTATGCATTTGCTAGAAAAAGTATTCACCATTTAAAATTATTTCAATCGAAAAAAAAAACATATGTTAGAAAATAGCAAACGTTTTCAGCAAACCATTCAAAACTGAACGAAAAAAATGATCGCGAGGAGCCGACATCTTACTGTTTTAACGCTTTCTACTCTCCAGTATTTCAGCCAGAGCTCATGCAAACCAGTCAATTTTGCATTACTTTTAGACATAGCCTCGAAACGGCCTCAACATCCAAAATATTGTCATCCCACCTCTCCGCAAACTGTTATGTACTATTTCCTTCATAGAATTGCAAACCATAACTACTTAACTCACTTGAATAAAGATAAAATTTATTGTTATTCAATTTAGAGTATACTTACCGCCAGAAAACCGGCTGCTATTTAGAAATAAGGGTACGAGATGTTAGCAATATGTGTTTTATTTTCTTAGGAATACAAAATCGTGAATCCACAATCTCCTCAGTGCTTCCCAGCAGTGAAACCTCAGATTCTGAACTCTACTGATAAGAACCACCTCATTCCTTTTTTATATATTAATATACAACTGGCCAAACTCATGTCTGCCTTGAAAATTTGAAGACCAACCACATCTAATTTACAACAGCTTCCGTGGAAATTCCAAGAAACAATAAATCTCAGTCTACTTTCCAAGTACTTTATTTAAGATTAAAACAAAGACTTAAACAAAACATACAACAAAAAATATCAGTTAAATCTAAAAAGCAGAATTCTTTGCAACAACATTTTAGGCATTGTCGCATTAAACCAAAACTCAGAAAAAAAGGTGTAAAACATTTACTCTTTACATGTCATTCCAGGTACACAAAAAATGACCAAAAAAACAATTCAAGATATAAACCCATTGAAAAAAGAAACACGTGTAGTGATTCTAGAATAAAAGTAGCAGAACGCGATAGATGAATTTTGGCAACTAGCGGACCATATTCAGGACAATTTTATGTCATCCTACTTTATGCTTTTAAGCTTGCTTTAGCTTGCAATTGAGAAAGTAATTTGAAAAATGGTACTTCTACCCCAAATATCAGAGGTCGAGAAAAATTCAGAACAGGGGGATATTTCAAGAGCAAGATTGAAATGGAAAAATTTCTCAACTCTTAAAATGACAACAAAACTGATTAGAAGGCAAAATAGAACAGATATCATCTGAATTGTCAAGAGGGACTAAACTTCCAGACCACTTCCCATTATCGTAAATGACAACATTGTGCCCCGCTTCATCGAGCTCAAGCTCAATTTGCGCAGTCTCAAAGCCTTCACCATCTTTATCACGTTCCGCCCGAACTACCATTATTCCACCATCACGTTCTCCACAAACTGGGATTCGCAACTGAAGCATGAGCTAGCTTATTAGAAAAATTAATTCTTAAAATCATATTACAGTGAACTCACATTTCGCTCCGTCTAAACTGAGTGTGTTCAATATTTTATTAAGCGAAAGAAATCGGATAAAGTCGAATAAATGATGCAAATTGTTTCGTTTAACTTCGGCTCTCCGTTGTGAAGAAATATAATGCCAAAGGATCTTTTATTAATTTACAATTACTTCAGACTTCCGTTCATCGATATAATTTCTTTTTCTGTCCATTAAATCAACTTCCCCAATAGTAAGTGGTAGTCCCAAAAATTCGATTGCTTTTTTGTGCTTCGATAACACTGTGAAGGCTCCTCTACAATGATAAATTTAACTGATAAGACAAAGCGACATATGTATGTTTAAAAGTAAAAGTAATTTCATAATTTTCTCTCACTGTCACTGCAGGCAGAAGAACCAAATCTCTACAGTAAGGAAAGACATAACGCCATAACATGCTGCACAATTCGTTATATCGGATTATTGCATATTACAGGGTTTGCACTCTGGAACGTTATCACCTGCAGTACACAACGCCGGTAATATTGACAACAATCTTGAACTTACTGAAGTTTCAAATCTTCTTCTAAAATTTCTATTCATTCATAGAAACAAGAGCTTTCGAAATATGCCAGGTAGTTTAAATAAGTAATTTATAAACAGACTTCTTTACCTGTAATGGGAGAATTCCCGAATTTTTGCCTGGATTTTCTTCTGCAGATATATATGAGTATATATAAACTGACAAATTAGGATGCCAGCTCCACCGCCGGCAACATTCGCTACTGTAAGATACCTGCCATTAGATAGCATACGTTTGGCTGGAAAGAAATCTTGAAATTAATTAGATCAAAGGAGACTGTTTAACTTAATTATTATGACATCGTCCCAGCTGCATTTCAAACAATGCAAGCATAACACGCACAAACAACCACTTCCACCCACCTCTCACAAGTACCGACCTCCTCCACCAAAAAGGATTAGCAGAGGTTACAGATTTTGTTGCATGCAAATTAGGAGTCCTGCGTTAAATGCCGCGCACTAACAGTCCAGTCTTGGGTACTTATTTGTCTTCCTAATGGCCGCTATTTATTGCAGGAATATACAAAATGCCGAAAAAGCATACAACGTCGAATAAAACGAGGAAGAGAAAGGGGAAAGACATGGATCAGATTATTGAGGAGATGAGATCAGAGAAGCAACGGTGTTCCACGACTAAGCACGTAGACCTCAATCTCGATTTGCCAGGTGACTCTTTATCTTAGCTCATTCGTGATCTGTGTTTCTTCATTCTTCTTATTTAGTTAGTATAAAAGAAGTAGAAATCAAATTAAACTGATTGCGGAAATCATGGAATCTCTATCTTCATACCTCGAGTTTTTCACTGCGTTTTTCACTTTTGAAAAAGCTTTGAATTCTTCACTAATTACACAAGTCTTAGATTTCGCCCATATGTTTTCAAGATTTGTTCAGGTGATGGACAGTTCTACTGTAATGAATGTGCTCGATATTTTATCAATGACAAATCTCTCAGTAGTCATAAGTCAAGTAAAGGTACTGGTCTTTTAAAATTTTCTAAACAAAAGGAGATTTTTTGTGAGGTCGTGAATTTTTTTCGAGATTTAAGAAATTGCAACTATTTGAATGAGAATGATTTCTTTTTAAGTTCACCGACAGCGATTAAAACGATTGCGAGAGCCGGCATATACGCAGCGTGAAGCTGAAGAATCTGTTGGGTTAAAAACTGCAATCTTTGCTTGAGATGTTGTGTACCATTCAGTTTGGGAATTTTCCTGTATATGCTTGTTATATGTTCCTGCATCCTTTACTTGTTGGGTGTTCTTGCACAAAGATATTTATATATGCTCTAGTAAATTCAATATATCGAATATTCAACCTCAGTCCAACATTTGACGAAATGATCCAAACCTTATCACAATGTTGGGCTCTGAAATTTCACCCTTAACCTTCCCCATAATTACCTCAAAAAATTAAAATTAAAGAAATTAAAGTCTTCCTCCCATGCAGAACAGCGAATCATGTACCGTTCATTAAAGATCCCTGTTGTCTCTTTATAGCTACCAGCCCCAAAAAAACGCCACCATCTGTCTACAAAATAGAATCAAAAGGAGGAACAGTATCAGTATTTCTGAAATGGTTCCTTAATACAATCACTGTTGAATCTGGAACATGACACTGAAATCGCTTAATTGTCGTATTAATCCTGTCAATGTTGCTCTTATCTCCAGATCCTAACCAAACGTGGAACCGTGGGCTGTGCATAGCTGTTATAAGAACTATATCTGCTCCTTTGATATATTAGAAGCAAGCGACAGGAAACAATTTTTCCCAGTAGATCTTCAACCAATTTCAAATTGATCATGACTTCCATCTCCAGTAATACTCATAAACTCGGGAACAAACCGATCCCCGAGACTTTTGAAAGCAAAGTTATTTCGTCAGTTTCATTAACTGCTCTGCTTAACTAAAACATTTTAAATGCATTAACCAGCTCACTTCACTGTTCTTGCTGGCGCGTAATAGTACGCAATTTTAGCCATAGCACCCTTTTTAATTCATAATCACGAAACCAGACCCTTTAACTAATTATTGTAAAGAATTCAGGACAGATCTTTATCATGCAGATGCTCCATGTATGCTCTAAATGCTTCTAATGCAAAAAAGTTCATCAGCGCATGTTTCTCTAACATTGATAGTAATAAACTTCGTAATTCGCAATGCTTGGAAGCAACTCTGGCTTCGCAGGCACTGAATCCGTTTTCACCTTACAATCCCTTATACTCTAATCCCTTAAACAGGCGTTGGATAGGACAAGCATTTTTGGAGCATTACTTCAGCCTTCAGCCCATATTTGGTTCTATTATAAACATTTTTGGAGCACTTATCTTAAAAAAAATCTTTGTTCCCATTTCATAGGAGCATTATTGATGTAAATTTACACTAAAGTTTTTAATCCAATTCATATCTTTGAATTTGTTATTCCTACATCATATTTATGAATATTTACAGCAGCGCTATTAATTCCAACTGCTCTTAATGTAGTAATTGATCACTCCATCTTCCAAGAGTTTAACTTCCTAGCCCTTGTAAACATCCATTTGATCCTCCCAATCAAATCTTAGATTTTTAATTTATAGATTAAAAAAACGTGATAAAAACACCAAAGCACTATGTTGCGAACAATAACCTACATAGTGTGAAAAAGACCACTTATGTTCAAGCAAACTCAAATTACTGCGCAAGCAGCCCAGCTGTATTTGACCTAGTTCTTGAAGTCTAGCGAACCACAATCATCGACATCAATTCAGACACACTGCTTCAAATATGTCCAAACCTTTTCGGAAACAGCAAAGTAAATGTCTTGAAACTCAAACTCATTGAAATTTTAAGAAGGATAGAATCTCTTCAATAAATAACGTCGTTATAAAAATTCGTCAAGAAATCCCACAGACTTGCATTCCTGCTCCTACCAGGTGAACCTTAAAAGGTATATAGTGTTAGGGGATCATATAATATTAAGACGCATATAATAAATGACAATGTAAATATCACTGTGTTCGCAATGATCGACGGCTTTCACTAGGACTTTTTAAATCCACTGGCACTCTGCCGTTTTTTATTTACCGGAGATCCCATTCGGTTAAACTTTAGTTGGTAACGACGTTTTATTTTCCATACTTTGTTCGTATATTTCAATCGCATCTTATATTTCACCTCCTTTGCCGTCATTAAACCGAATCGTCTAAGAATTGGGAAACTCAGCTGTATTAACAACAGAGTAGTAGCATAACGAAAGGGAGCAGCGATCTGAAACAAAACAGAATTGAGCTCTCACCAATAACTTTCAGGCTAAACATATTTTACTGTTGTTAATAATATGCGACATGATGTGGTAAAATGAGCAATTAAAATTCTTATTTGAAAAATTCCTTCACCAGTGTGTCCCATTATAAAAACAGTAAATCTATCGATTGTGATGAGACGCCGTACAATGGTATAAATCCTCTGAAAGAAATTACAACGGTCGTCAAACTAAGCTATTCATCTACGATTGCCTAGTCCTAGCTATCTAACGCTCTCTCTTTCCTGGAATATTTAAAGTTTTTTGTTGATATAATTAATTTACTAACAATATAGACAGTTAAAGTTCATACCTTGCAGAGTAGAAAGGCTACAACAGCAACTCCTGCGTTCGGAGGAACTGATTTTACTCTATCAACAACATAATTAGGTATACGACATTTCTCAAGTAATGCAACAACATCAAGACCGCTGAAAATGTTTGGAACCATTAATTTAATTTACTAATAACTGATTTCAATTTTTCAAATTTAGACTTAAATAGCCCCAGAAAGCAGAAAAATATCCACCTCTTTATTAAAATGGAGACTAACCTTTTGACAGCGACATAAAAGACAATAAACCAAACGACATAGTTTGCAATGTGTATTGGGATAGCGATATACCAGTAGCGTTTCAAATAATATTTCAATTTTGCAAATAATCCTGTAGGTTTCGCTTCCTTCAAAAATTAAACATTGATGAATTTCTAGCGAGAGCTCTTGTTAATAATGATAAGCGATGAGAAATTGACTCATACCTTATGCTCCTTTTGGACTGCTTCCTTCGCTTTTTTCAGTTTTTCATCATTTTCAGAAGCAAAAGTATCATGCCTCTAAAAAGAATCATTGGATGTACATGAATACATGGCATAGTAAAGAAATAAGTAAACTCCTATTCATTTAAGAATTTCAGGATCAGAACCCTTTGCAAATGCAACAGAACCTTCTTAATGAAAATCTCAACCTTTGAGATTAAGATTTATAGTTAATATACATATTCAATTTCCACAGCTTTCATTATTTGAAAGCAATTTTTGCTCAACAGTCAAGTTCAGTTCTATAAAAAAGAAAACACCTCCAAACCCTCTTATGATTCAAGCACGTACTGTTTCAGCAACATGAATAAACCTCCTTGCTTCGTACAGCTCACTCACATTTGGAAAAGGATTCGAGATGGATGTGTGTACCGAAGCGGTAAACTGAAGACTGGACGGATTAGAAACAGTCACGGTTTTTCCGTATGGATAATTAGACAATCTGTTTGGCCCAGCCGACAATTTCAGAAACCTTAGCAGACATTTGCTCTCTAAACTGATCACACGCGATCGCATCCCTAATAAAGCTAACATCCTGAAAACCGAGAAGCGAAAAAATAAGCTATGCATCACTACAACACGACCAATTTCCATAGTTTCAAGATTTATGAACTTGTCACGCTGCAAAATGCGAAAACTTGCATAGAAGGGATGATTTTAACCATACCTTTACTGAATTATAAATAGAACAGCAAGTTTTCCTGATAAAAGATATAGAACGCGAACCACAACAATTAATGTAACAAACAAGCAAGAAACGAAATCCACACAAATAAATGCTTAAGCTAAATCTTATTTCATATACTCTAAGATTACGAAGAATAGGGATCACTTCGGTCAATGTTTAGAAATTGAAATCTTAAAAGTTTTTTGAAGTTGCATAAAATTATATGGAAAAGGATCCTTTGATCCCACAAATAAAAGTGGCAAAAAGTAAATGTTGCATAACAGGAACATGGTCTTATCCTTATCACGATTATCAATAAAAAAACATTCAATAGTTATATTTTAAGCCATCAACTGACTCTTAAAATGATAACCAATATATAAAGCAATCAAAGCGAAAGCCGTAATAACAGTTTCTGATGCAATCGGAGATGATTTTGAGACACCCTGAAACAAATGTATTATTCGATATATTGTAATATCTAGTTAACAATTGGAATATTAACCTGAAGTCCCGAATAATCTTCAATGCATAATTTTTTTCCATAGATTTTGGAAAATTTAAACGTTCTTGAAACTTCTGTGCCTAAAACACTTAACGAAATGACAGAAAGACCTCATGATAAGTGAAACCGATTTCCAATGAAAAAGTTGAAACATACCGGATGGTTTAACTGAACTATGAAGAGCGATTTCACTTTGGAGGTATCACCATGGCTCCTTTCCGTCTAGGAAAAAAATGAAAATCATGCATGCTTTCATTGATGATTTAAACTTCATACTAAAAACATTTCTTACTTAGTATGTAAATCCACAATTTCCTAAAACTGCTTCCAAAAAATTATTCCCACTGTTAGACTTCTTATTTCTAAACAGTTCTTATGCTAAATGAACTAATACAAGTTTTTTATTGTTTCGGTTTAAAGCATGTTTAAAACTTGAAATAATTTGGTCAAACGATAATCGAAACCACTAAATCACTGAACTCCGTATAATTCAAAAAGGCATTATGCATTAGCATATACAATCTAATCAAGAAATTCTGAAATCTATAGGTAGGCAACTTAAGTACCTTGCGATAAGCAGTTAAACCATCTTCATCGTAAATCACTACATTAAATGTTTGAGCTGCCGAGTCGTCGTGCTCCAACTGCCAAGATATTTGATGTTTTGATGTTTCTTCCGATACAGCAGCCTGATATATCTTCCCATTGACGATACCATAAACAGCCATATCCTACAACAGGAATCACTGGAAACTGAATGTTTCCTATCATGGAGCAATTACTGCTACAGTTTCAATGTGTTCACGTCCATCTGAAAAAAATCAGAAGAAAAAGCAAAAGCTAACCTTGACATTATTAGCGCATTGCAAGTTAAATTCAATAATATAAGTTGTGCTAAAGTGGAAAAAGGCATCGGTGGTTGAAAATGTTACTGCGGAATGATTGGGTGACTCGCACATGATGGCTAAAACAATTCCATGTGACGAACAAAATTTAAAATCTACCGCATAAAGCAAATACAACAAGTTCTGGACTACTAACTATTTTAAAAACCGAAACAACTCTTGAAAGATATGCTGAAATGTTACACACTGATTTGTGAACCATTGTTTGAATTTTCATACAAAACGTACATTCAGCTCCGATCACGAAAGACACCATTATAATAAATTCTCGAATCATTCTGCTCCTACTTGATTACTGCCCTGTTGAGGCCTCCCTTAAGTTACCTACAAATAATGAAAGATATATAGTTTTGTAGGTTTTATGGTAAGTCATTTGAAAGGCAGTCAAACGCAGGCTAATTCATTCGATGTAAAACAGTTTCCTGAATCTTAGCCAATGTCTAAAGCACCGGAACTTCGCAGTAATTCAGAGAACCCTTCTAGCCAGTCGGCATTCCGTGATGGGTTCGAAAAGGGACATTCCGAAAAATTGATATTAGCGTTGTATCTTCTTGGAAATTCCGAAAACGTGCCCCACGCTGTTCAACAGAGCTCACTTCACAGGTTAATATCACTTACGTAAAAGCCTAAATAAGTCCAAATCACTTCCACTCCCGGGCATCCGCGTTTTCCACACAACAATTTGTTTACTGCACATTTTATATTCCAGTCGTTTGGCTTTTACTCTTTCCTGAGACTTGCCAACCCTCCCCTCTCTCCCTCTCTCCCTCTCTTAACGAAAACTTTCCCTGCAACCGCTCTATTTCTCTATATTTAGGATGTATCCATGTCTCTGTTACTTGTCAAGTCTCGACAACATTCTAATTTTCGGTATGGCTATCATCAAGTCAAGCTTGACTGATTAGATCTGAGCCTGAGCATATGACAGCATAGGGTTATGATCTTTGAGGAGTGAATCTGTCTGTAAGAATAATAGTTCAATGAATAAGGTGATAAGGGGAATGACGCTGGTCTCATAAGCGATGGTTTGGTAGTGACATGTTGGGGAGTAGGGTTATTGTGTACCACTTTCTGCTTTTATACTCATTAGCAATTTTTCAAGTTCTAAACTTTCGAAGATTTAAAATCGGACCAAAAAGTAAAATATAAATTTTAGGAAAGGCAAGTTAAGTTCGTAAATTCTCACGACAGATAGCTGCTATTCATTGCAATTTATGCAGGTCACACTCGAATGGCCGCGCATGCATTACTAAATAATACTATCCGTCGTCAGTTTTCCTCATTAATGAACGAAACGCGTTCCTTGATTGCTGTTTGCCAGTTGACATCGACTAATGATTTAGAAGCTAATTTCGAAGTTGCAAAATGGATGATGAAGCGTGCTAAAGAGCGCAATGCGAAGGTTCAAGCTTTGACATTGACTTTATCCATCTGGAATCTAACTGTTCAAATTTTGTTCATTTGTTTACTTTTTTTACCAACGACTTTGGCAGGTCTAAGGTCTAACTTCATTCCCAGGACACTAGGAAATGTTATCTGACCAAAGTGACGAGTAAGCCATTCAGTGGAAGAGCTATATATAAAAGTGGTGATTCAAGTAAGTTATTTCCTACTAACTTACACATTTATTGAGCGTTGTTCGTATTTGTGGTATAATGGTGCTTCAGTTCTTTGCAATTCTAAAAAGCTTAAAGTTTTCTGAATTACTGAAAAATTGATATTTGTTTTGACCTGAAAGAGGAGTTTTCAAATTTAGATGATTTTCTTCCCGGAGTGTTTTGATTACGTTGGAGAAAGCCGTGACGAGAATGAAACGCTGGCTTTGTCTGAGAGCAGCGAGTATATTGGTCGGTATCGAAAGTGTGCCAAAGAATATGGACTTTGGCTTAGTTTGGGCGGATTTCATCAAAAGGTTCTAAAAATTTAGGTCTACATTTGCGTGGTGTTGGGATTTACGGGTGCTTCCTTTTTCCATTGATCTGCAGTTGATTTATGATTTTTTTAGGATCCCGCTGGATTACGGAAACCTTTCAATACTCATCTTATAATAGATGATAAAGGAGAAACTCGTGGTATCTACAGAAAACTTCATCTATTCGATCTAGATATCCCTGGAAAAGTGCGATTAGTAGAAAGCGAATTTTCAAGTCGTGGGGATGAAGTTGGTTCAATTTTCTTGAGATTCGAAAGTCTCTTTTGCTTTCAAACTTTTCAAATTAATTTTAAGACAAGATTTTAGATTTTGAAGCCAATTTGTACACCTGTGGGGAATGTCGCCATGTCCATTTGTTACGACTTACGGTTTGCTGAATTGGCATTATGGTATCGCATGAATGGAGCCCATATTTTGACATACCCGGCAGCTTTCACTGTTAGCACTGGTCTCGCACACTGGGAAGTATGTGTTTGGGGATTTTTTAACAAGAAATTCTTATTTTTATGGTCTTTGAACGCGTGCCAAATGATTTTCTTAGAAAATTTCAGATTTTGTGTTTCATTAAGTGTGTTGTTTTATTATGTTTTAATTTTTAGACCTTACTAAGGGCCAGAGCAGTCGAAACACAATGTTACGTCGTCGCTGCTGCTCAGACTGGTAAACATAACGATAAAAGGTCGTCATATGGTCACTCAATGGTTGTTGACCCTTGGGGAGCAGTTATTGCTCAGTGTTCAGAAACTATAGGTATAGCTTGAAACCTGTTACATTTGATTCTTTTTCTGTTGTGTGGGCTGGTATTGAAAGTCCCTAACAGATTCAACAAATCTATTGCTTTAGAAACTTGATTTTTTAAATGCTATTTATTAAAGATGTTTTTAAGATATATGCTTTGCTGAAATAACATTAAATTATCTCGATGAAATACGAAAGCTGCAACCTGTTTTTGATCATCGGCGTTCTGACTTATATTCATTGATAGCGGTGCAGAGGAACAAAATCGGTCAGTATCTTTTAGATTTTTCACTACACGCTTTGTTCTTTATTTAAATTTGAAGCTCTTCATTCCTTATGATTATAAGGTTTCAGGAAATGAAATGTACACATTCGGCAATCACAGTATTCCGCCCGAGCACGTTTTTTATCGCAGTAGTTACACATTCTGCTTCGTGAATCGAAGTCCTGTACTCCCTGGACGTTGGTATTTTTAGTTGATGTGATAAGTTAATCTAAAATATTTATTATACTTTGTATAATGTATTTCGTCATTTATCGAGTTTCGATTTCTTGAAAATAATTCCGAGGACCAAAACACTGAATCTCGTCACATGACGAACCAAGATCTTGCGCACTTCATATTATAAAAAGTTTTAATATTCCGTCCACGCAAACTTTCTCCTCGACAGAAATAAACATTTTACATTTGAAGTGCTAATTCCTTTAGATGTGCTATTATCTCCTATCAGAAATGTGAAGCGACTTACTAAATTAAGTCATGCCGAAACTTCCGATTTATTCATAACTGCAAAGAGAATACAGGCAATGCTGGAAGACTACTATAAAGCAACAGCTTCGACTGTTTGCGTTCAAGATGGCCCTGAAGCAGGACAGACTGTTTCAGTAAGTATGAATATATAACTTTATATTTTTGAAAACCATTCAGGAATCTCATAAGTTAGGAATGAGACTTTTGCTTGTTACTGACTCTAATTTCTGTTCGATTATAATTTTTGTAGTGAAAACTTTGTGTAAATGCATAACTCTATAGCCAGAAAGTTTATTTTAGGACTACTTGTTAATAAAATATTGCAGACAAATAAGAGCAATTAAGCAAAAAGTGGTAACGATAGTCTCTTGTAGCATGTACACGTACACATACTTCCGCGGAAGAAGGATGATTTTGGTGACGACCCAGGTAATATTTGTCGTGAATTAGCTCAGCATGACAAAGCCGAAGAAAAGAAATTCCGGAATAAGGAAGAAATGCAGAATGAAGCCAATGTATACCGATGTTTGTTGGTTACTGGAGAAGCCGAGTGATAATGTATACGTCGTGCGGAAGTGTTTGGTCGTGTACTGTATTTGCCAGGCATTAAAGACTATCTTCAAACATAACTAGATGGTATTAATTAACAATAAGCTATAGATAAACTGTATCGATAGGCATAAAGTACAAAGAAATATGTTGGTTAAAACCAGTGCATTTCTGGTTAAATCAGCATACAATCACTGTTTTATAAAGGTTCTTTATTATTTAACTTTTTGCTATATATTTTTCACTTCATGTTATAATAAATATTTGTATGAAACGTTGAAATAACGTTAACTGTATTAATCAGAATATGGATTCCATTTTGGTCCCATCTGGCCTTGCATCCCAGGATTGCAGCTGGTATCGGGAATTCGAATTCTCTCATTTTAATAGTGTCGATTCTAACTTGCATATAATAACATATCAACAAATAAAATGAAATACTGCTTCCGAAATAAAAGGAAGAAGGTAAAAGAAATGCTTTTTATCTTCGATCTCCTTTTTCACTCTTCCGATATATCTTTTTCCATTTTTTAAAGAAAAACTTCATATAGCCATAATTTGTAGAAAAAATCTTCGAAACACAAGGACTTTTCAACAATATAATTAATGCAAATGCAAAAAATGAAAAGGTCAGAAGATCGAAAATTTTGGAAAAGCTAATTATATTTATTTTTAGCAAGATAATTGTTCTGCTGAATCACATTTTAAACAACGAAGCTTGGTATGCTTCACTCTTTATTTCTGTGGAAGTCTAAACCTTTCTTACTACGCATAATGACAATATAAGACTGCTGCAAGAACTTAAAGGAAGCGTTACGGCCATTCTAATGTATTTTTCTGTAGGCTTCGAAATTGAGTGAATTTCTGGAGTTCGATTATGAGGTGTGACTCGTTGAGTGGGCTCCTTGGTTTTAGTTTTCCTTGTATCATAATAAATAGTAATTTGTAAAGTGTAGGTATGAAATTTCAAGCTCGGAACGGCGTATTTGAATTTCGAAGGGTGGATTTGGAGCTTTCTACAAATCAACTAGGAATGTGTGGCGTGCAACGGGCTTCGCTGAACGTTACGATTGGCAGCGTTTAAAATAGTTTGGGAACATAGTGAAATATACATTTCCAAAGCTTTAAGCAAGCCAGTAAAATGCAGTTTTGGCTGACTGAAATCAAGTAATTCAAATAGTTAAAACCGCAGCTCTTCAGACTACTCCACTTAGTATCATTGACTATTTTTTTCCTGTCGTTAATAAATTCGATCATATCCAGTTCAAAAAAGTACGCAATGTTTAGTTGTGCCACTCATTTGTCAAAATTTCGTATATTTGAATGATTATGCTTTGATCATTTTTCTTAGACCAAAATTTTCCTTTCCACTGCAGTTGATTGAGAATGCTTTTGTCATTTTTTTCGTCGGCAATTTCATATATTTTAATTTAAAAGTTCAATTTTTGAAACAACAATGATTATTTCGTTTTAACTCGTCCTGCTTTCTATTGTGCCATAATTTTTTTTGAATATAATTGTGTTGCTCACAGTTTTACGATGAAAATTTAATTGGAATCTCTTCAAAATCTCATCCTTGATTTGTTTTCATGTATCTTTATCCACGCTGCGGCGGCTTCAGTAAGTGCAATGAAATTAGTGTTAAAACTTTTTTTTCAGGTAATCGTAAGAGGGATGTTGTCATGGCGTTACTTCAGGAGATGTGTCAGACGGTCACTGCAGATAGTTGTCTTGGTCTTTTGTTTTATTGGATTGTATACAGTTTTTTCTGTACTAAAACTGCCAAGGATGTATGAAAAGGAGCACAGTAGCATAGGTGTTTTCACTGGAAATGTTGCTGAGCCGATACAGATTTGTTTGTTCTTCCTTTTTTTGTAGAGGAAGAGAAGTATAAGGAAAATTTACTCATTAAATGAATATTTTATTTACTCGTTGAATGAATATTTTTATGAAGAAGCAAGAGCAGTTTTATTAGGTTATATTCTGAAGGATTTTAAAGTTCTACAATACATAAAGAAAAAAAAAAACAGTTTTATCTATTCACAAAATTTTAGTGGATAATGATACTGATCCATTTGCTTCATATAAAAGTTTTGGTAAAAAGGACTGGCATGATTATAAATCGATGGAACGTGATGCAGTAAGACAAGGGCCTGGCGAGGGTGGTGAACCGGTGGTAGTAGCATCTGACGAGTTGAAAAAGTTACGGGTTAGCTTTCGAAGTTCTTATTTCAAATTTATAATTATGAAACGGAAATGCTGAAAATCAAGTATATAGGTTCACTAAATACACAGACGTTTGGATTCCTGAGAACTCTGTATATGGAAATCTTTGAAAATCGTAGTATTCCGCGAATCATTTTATCGATTATTCAATCATTTCATCCTTCCTGTTATTTTTGTCTTTTATAACATTTTTAGGATGATCTCTATCGTGTAAATGGTTACGATGCCTATGTCAGCGACTTGATTGCCTTGGATCGTTCGGTTAAAGATATACGGCACCCCGGATGTAAGAGTATGGTTTACCTCGAAAAATTGCCAACTGTGGGAGTGGTATTTCCCTTTTATGATGAGGTATTCATCGTCAGAAATATTTAATTTTCACTTTGAAGTTAGTTATTAACCAGCCTATTATTTTTTCTTTTAGCACAATTCAACGCTGCTAAGAAGCGTATATTCCGTTATAAATCGTTCTCCAAAAAGTATAATGAAAGAAGTTATTCTTGTCGATGACGGAAGTACAAAACCGTCCCTGAAAGAACCGCTTGAAGAGTTTCTGAAAAAGGCTGGTCTTAATCACATCGTGAAAGTTATTCGTACGCAGTAAGTTTTTGTAAGTTAATTTAGCAAACTCTTTGAATTCCTCTCAAGTTTTTCTTTATTTTTCTCAAGGATTTTTCTGGTTAATTTAGAAAAAGAGAAGGATTGATTCGAGCGCGTCAAGTAGGCGCGCGGCATGTAACGGCCGATGTGATTGTATTTTTGGATGCACATTCAGAAACAAATTATAACTGGTTGCCGCCGCTCATCGAACCAATTGCACTTGATTATAAGTAAGTCTTGTGACTGATTCGATTGTAAATTTGCAAAGCAATATTTCAAACTTCAACGGAGCCTGGTTTTACAAATTCATGGAATTAAAGTTTCGTTGAAAGTCGTTCTGTACTTTCTTAAAAAACTTTACTCACATTCGCAGATATACAGATATATGATGTTTTTTTCAGAACAGTAGTTTGTCCTTTTATCGATGTTATTGACTGCAATACTTACGAGTACCGTGCACAAGATGAGGGTGGCAGAGGTTTGGGATTTTTCGTTATGACTTTTTAAAAAGATTAGAGAACTGGTTGAAACTTCTAACTTTCAGGCTCTTTCGATTGGGAATTCAATTATAAGCGCTTGCCTTTAACAGAAGATAATAAGAAAAATCCAACGCGTCCCTTTCACAGTCCAGTTATGGCTGGTGGATATTTTGCAATCAGCAGGAAATGGTTTTGGAAGTTGGGAGGTTATGATGAGGGCCTTGACATATGGGGTGGGGAACAGTATGAACTTTCTTTCAAGGTAAGTTGTAATTTTTTCTAAAGCATAAGCAACTTTTTTTTTTTAATTTCCAGTTGTCGCTATATTGTTCAGTTATTTTGTTCATGTCACTGTCAATCAAAGCACTGAATATTACACTATTTTCGGAAACAGTAATATCTTTATTTCTGATACTTAAAAAATTTTTTGAAAATTTCTCAGTTTTCTCTTTGTAGTTGGTATGCTGAAATATGTGTTAAGGGTGATAGTATTATCGTTTTATAGACCAAAATGAAAGATACTGAAAGTCTCTTAGATCGAAATTTATGCTTAATTTGTTCAGTGCGATGTTGTTAGGTGTGGCAGTGCCACGGTACAATGGTCGATGCTCCTTGCTCACGGGTTGGACACATTTATCGTTGTAAATATATTCCTTTTCCAAATCCAGGTATCGGGGATTTCATTTCCAGAAATTATAGAAGGTGAATTTTTATTCCTTATGCCAAGAAGATAACGATAATAAAGCAATAGAATTTTGAATTTATTCATCAACTGAAAGAGAATTTTCAGAGTTGCTGAAGTATGGATGGATGAATATGCAAAGTTTTTGTACAAGCGTAGACCACCGTTGCTCACTATTGATTTTGGTTTGGTGTTGAATATGTGTTGACCTGAGACTGAAATTTTAGTAATTGATTTGTACCACTTATTTAGCGGTACAAATGAATTGATGAAATCAAATTCAAATTTATTACCGCTAAAAATGTTTTTAGGTGACCTTAGTAAGCAGAAGGCAGTTAGAAAAGGGCTTAAATGTAAAACATTTGACTGGTTCATGAAAGAGATTGCTTTCGATCAAGAAAAGTATTATCCTGCAGTGGAGCCCGAAGATAGTGCTAAAGGTCAAGTGATACTCAATGTTTTTCGCTCCTACAGTTTGAGCAGATTGTTTATTTAATCTAAAGTTTCTTAACACTTACATAAATAATTATACAGGTGAGCTGCGCAATATTGCAGCGAATAAATGCGTAGATACACAATTCAAAGATGCCAAAAAAAAGTTTGGTTTGCGAAAATGTATCAGTGATGACCCAACCAGTAATGGGGAACAAGTAATATTTCTTTAACTGCAAAACTTTTTTCATTTCTTTTTCTAATTCACTTCAAAGTATCGGAGATTTGCTAAATTTTCAAGAACTTTCGACTCACATTTTGGCGCGATGTGCGACTCGATACGCAATCAATGTGTTTTGACGTTTCAGTTTCTGTAAACCAAGCGCCTATTGTTTTATTTTCGTGGTAATTTTTAAAATGAATTTATTATGAGTTCTGCGTTTCGGATCCTTCTTGAATGAACTCGAAACGATAATTGAAATTATAGAGGATTCTTCTCAACGTTTCAATTCCTTGTTTTTTAGAGAAAGGATGATGTAGGTTGAAATGAGAAACAGAGTAAAAGTAGAAAACGTAGAATTTTTCGATTAAATCTAAGATTCTTTCATCTCAGCCACGGCATGCAAGGTAATCAACATTTCAAATATCTGCCTGACAAGCAGCAGATGTATCATCCGATTAGTGGTTTGTGCATGGATTGCGATGTGGACCGAGGAGAAATTTTCATGAATCCTTGCAACTCGGAACGACGAAGTCAAAAATGGACATGGACGAAAATTAATCTGAAACTGATTCAGGAGCGTAATGAAAGAAAAACGCAGACATAGCGAAGCACTCAAAACGGAAAAGATTTGATTCTGATTTACTTTTTCGATAGATAGATAGATAGATCATTGAGTTGTTTTGCTCTTGGAGTGTTTTCCTTCTTTCCTTTAAATTTGAGATCTATATATAGATATAGATAGATTAGATAGATAGATAGATAGATAGACTAGATAGATTAGATAGATGGATAGATAGATAAGTTAAGATAAGATAAGATAGATAAATTCTTAATGACTTTAAATTCATGTAGTGGTTCGAAAATTGATTTGATTGGATTTGTGCGGGTTACATTTTTATCGCCTTGATTTTTTATTGGCTTCTGCACTTACACTGAATATATGGGAAATAGTTCCTAACCCGCTGGGTATAAAATTCTACCTTTCATCAAGTATTTTTCAATATCGATAACGGAAATGAGAGAAATTTACATCGGAACTTTTCTGTTTTTATTTAAATTTCAACTCTACGTATCGCTCCAAAATTATATATTGCAGCTCTTTCATAATTGCATTCCCGTTATTTTGTTTATGTTGTTTAGCCTAGTGTTGTATCACATAGGTGGTATTTTCGGGATGTTCTCTACGGTGCTATATAACACCTTATCAATTACTGGAAAGCTTTTTAACTTCCACATAATTGGATTATCATTATTTCGATGAATTATAGGGTTGTTACCATTCTTTCCATATTTATGAAATCTGGTTTCTCTATAGAAATTTCAAAACTTCTGGACATTTGAGACAATTTTGGATAATTAAAATATATGTAAGAAAAGCAAATCGTAACAGGCTAGTAGTGATATCTTCCAGTTGTGGTTTATATTGTTTATAGATTTTTTTTTTTTTTTTACATAGTGTTGCATCCAATTCTAATGTAGTAAATTTCTCCATATAAATTGCCTTTCATATTCGTTGGTCTGTTTTATTCCTGTTCTGACATCGTATTGAACGCAATAAATAGGGATAAGGATTAGTTCTACTTCTTGTTTGCACTAATTCTGGGAAAAGATTAAGAACTGAGATTGTTGAGAACTAGAAGATAGGGTCACAATTTATTTACTGCAAGGGTTACATGCAGTTTCTTAATTTTTCGGTTATCCTGAAATTTCTTATAAAGAAACTTTCACTTTGGGGGTGCCATGATTCCCACTAGGTTATTTTCAACAATTCAGAAATTATTAATGTTTCTGGTCTCTTCCCAGTATATTATAGGATGATACCAAAGCGTAATATTCGCTCTCTCACTGTAAATCGCTTTTCGAAATCAAAAAGAGTTATTAATCGAAAATTTTGAAATTATGGCAATCACCGGAAAGATTTTTATTCAGTTAAATACTATTCGAGTAACGGTTTATTTGATATGTAAGCAGTATCTAAAATGTAAGCCATATTGATTCGCTTATTTGTCAATCACTATGACGTACACTTCAGTATACTACTTGCTATATGGTGATCGATTTAGCAAGTAAGAATTACTGGTGGTGCAATATCTTTTAGTTTTAATTTACCATTGTAGGAGAGTAAAAAAGTTTTAATAAAGTGATTATAATTTGATAACGAGGGAACATTTCCAAACCGGGAAGGAAATTTCAACTTGAGTTTACTGCTTAGATGTTGGATAAAGTGAATGTGATGAGGTTTGCAAAGACTGGTAGAATCGGTTAACCTTAATTATTAATGCAGATGTTTACTTCGTGGATTTAATTTGGAAGAAAAATATAAAATTGAAAACCCTCAGAAATTTTTCCTGAAACTAACAACAACGGATTGGATGATACTGATTTGAAAGTGGCATCCTGGCTCCGTTAACATTTTAGCAGCTGATGGGAAAAGCGGCAACTCTTGGGTGGTGCAATGTGTTTTGGAACAGCATGGAAAAACGAAATGATTATTACTTCACGCATAAATAATTCACATTTTGCACATGTATATACATTGTAGGAATATTTTGCTTGGGATCACTGTGGAGTGGAATGAACGGTAGTTTAGAGACTGATGTTGCAGAAAGAGAAGTGCCGTTTGATTTTCCTTGGGATAGAGGATAGGATGGGATTGCTCCTCATTTCGGATTTTTCATTTTTTTATGCTTGTTTCTCATGATCTGCTAGTTCATGTCTAACACACACAGAAGCACACTTATAGCATATAACATATGTCAGTTACACATCAAATACAAAATTGAAAAGAGGAAATGTAATCATAATGTGTAAATAAGCGGAAAGATTATCTTAAAAATTAAGACGATGTTGCGAAACTCGAATTCGGAATATATGGCAGATCATCTTAATGGTTATCAGTTGGTGACGAAGTTAGCAGTAGTCGACAATGTCTCTTCATTGTTATTCTCTTTTTTACCAAGCTTTCCTACTTCAATTGACAGACGAAAATCACGATCCCAGGCATAATGACGGATCGTACAAGCGACGTGCTCATTACATACAAATTCAAATACAAATATGCGTTGAACTCTGAAGTGTAAGTATGAAATAGGAATTGGAGTAAACTGTATGTCGTTCCTCTACTCGATCTTTTAGAATTTAAATTTCGAATTTTCTTTGTTTTCTTACCTTATGCGCCCTTCTTGTACTAAACATAGATTACTTCAATACTTCCGAATCCTTCTTTACCTTTCGATTACCCTTTTCCTTCTCTTTTTGTATGTTGTTATATCTGAATTAGCTTGTGGTGGTATTTGTATGTTCTTAATCAATAACATTTTTAAAATGACTTGTCATGCCACTTTAAAGCATACTGCATTTTGAACTATTATGCATTATTCAAATAATAGCATTAACCCTTTATTAATGAATTCGACAGAAAGTAAAGCCGATGGAATTATGCATTATTGGCTAAAACTTTCATTTCCTTTCGGTTGTCTGCATTGAAGGCATTTTAATCCTTTTTTCTTTCTCTATTATATTCTATGAAAGACAGATCCGGAGAAAATCAATTTCAATTTTTCATAAAATGAACAAACCAATGCGTATAAATTAGAAAAATTTCGAAATATGAAAAATCACGATTCAGGAAAACGATAGGAAGAGAATTTTGTTCATTTTAAGTGTAAATTTGTCAAGAAGGGTAGACTGTTCAAGACAAATCTTTCTTCGATTTAAGGTTGTGCCTTAATGCATTAAACTTCATTCTTGTCAGCATGCTGGCTTTTTCTTGCTTCGACACGGATAAATGTCTCCGTACAAAATCACTGACAGAGAAAAAATGCAAGGGATTTCATTTTTCAAGTTGTTCTAGAGTTTGAGAAACACGGATGTAATCAAATCAATTTTGATAATGAGGGAAAATAAGTAGCTGGAATCAACGATGAAATTCAATTCACTTACGACAAAAAAAAAAAACACTTACTATTGAATAAAATTAACAAGGATTCCGGATTGTAGTCATGAGTAAGTTAAGCATAATAGTTTAAATAATCTGTCAATATTACGGGTAGGAGTGCCTTTTCGTAGCGCAACGGAACGGGGCAGTCCAACGTCATTTATTTGATCTGACTGACTCTAACATTATATTTCTGGAGAATGGACATTTTTGATGTCTTCAGATATTCTTAAATTAAGAAAATTATTTAAATTGCTACTGCAATTTCTGAAGATATTTATTCACTTATTTTTTTTTTCATTTACAATGATATATGATATATTATAAAACAAAATGGTTGTAATTGCACCGATCTTCTTATCCGCCGTTTGTATGAACCTGTGTACTGCGGGCATAATTATACCTAGGTGTATACTGAAATAGCATCAATGATATTCAATTTGGAGCCTTAGTTGAAAAAGAAGGATTTACAGCTAAATTGCAGGTATGTTATCAACTATGAACAGTTCAGTCAATTGTCAATAAATCATCCCTCGATGATGTGTTCATGCTCTTCCTTTCTTAATCCCTCTCTATCCTATTAAACTGCATTGCAATTTAAAAATTTTAATATCTTTCAAAGTTTTTCCAAAATGCATTTTCTTAATGGCTTAAAGTCGCTGGATCAACTTCATAATGCTACTTCACCAAGATCAGTTTTATTTCCTACTATGATACATCATTGAAAAAAGTGTCATTATGCTTCCTATGAAGTTTTTCTTTTTCTTTTTGAAAATTCGTTAATATTTCACGTATCTTCAAATATGCTTCTGTTAATTCTTTTTATTTCTAATAAATGCTACCTCATCTTGAATATCTTGATTAGCTTGAGTTTTATCACAGGACAACATCACTCTTTCTCAATTTTTGACCTTAGATTTTTCTTATTGATCTAAATTCATGATTACATACGAATGGATCTTTCCCTCTTTTGGTGGTCTCTCTGACAATGTAGTTGTTGAGGGTATTTCATTCTTTACATATCAGTAGGTTATATACGAAAAACGATAAAATGTTTGCTAGCGAAATACTTAGGAGGACTAGTTTTATCATTAACATCAGGAAAGGAACCGGTTAGGTTGTTTGTTGATAAATGCGTACTTTCGTTTTTTTTTTTTAGTAATGCAGTTCAGATACTCTTTTCCTCATAGTTTCGCATTTCAAAATTTTATCAAACTTAGCTGGTAGCTTACTGCGTGTTTTATCGAATTCTTTTTCAGTTTTCGTAAGGAATACTTTAATATTTTACTTCAATTATTGCAAGTGCTAATTTAGTCCTCCGGGACACAAATGAAATTTTTGATTCTAATTTCTATCTGTAGAAGTGTAGCAAATGCGGTTACCGCTAATTACATGCATTTCTATTGAACTGCATTCATGAAATCCGATTTCCAAAGGGTGGTGATGAACCTAAATTTTACAACGAAGAGACGGTTATTCATAAATTAATTGTAGCAGCTGAGTTCGAATCAAAGGCTGCCGTAGTTATTGCTTCAAAATAAGATTTAGAACAGGAACTAAATTCAAACCATATTCTCCAGACCGCAACAATTTTAACATCATTAAAAATCCGAACCAGAGTTCTATCATTATTTGATGCTGGAATAGTGACAAATATTATCAAAGTC